AATTATACTATATTTAATCCGCAAATTGTGATTTTAAAATGAAATTGATTAAAATCTTTCTTGAATTACCTTGGTTTTCATCTTCGCTACTTTACAATTTTCGTTTCAAATTTTTTTTTTACCGTTTTTTTTATAAAACAGGGATAAAACAGGGAATCCCTATCAAAAAGCAGGGATCAGGGAAAAGGGATTAAGCCGTAGGGATCCCTGGGTTTTTCCCTTAGGGAGGGATCCCTAGAGAAACACTATTTAGAATCCCAACCACTGAAGAAAGAAGAAGTCACTTTTAAACTCAATGTTTAGATTTACATGAATTCTCCCCACATCAAGCCTATTTTATTGAAGATAAAATTTAGGTAAATGGGTTTAACTTCAACATTTTACTGTGCTGGGTTTAATGCTTTCGAGAAAATGGATGGAAAACCTACAGGGAAAAGCTCTCGTTGAAGACAAGGGAAGACTAATTAAAATCATCTTAAAATATGATCGTCATCTTCTGTAATTTGCTGAAATTTTAATTAACGAAAACCCAATTTTCATAAGTGTTCATGGTAAGAGAAATTTAAAACATTACGATAATGGCTTTTCTGAAAATGATGAATGTAAATCAGATTTTTTTTGCCAAACATCTTCTTTGTAGCAATCAACCGAATGAGTTGTGTTCGATTTCTTTTTCCCAAGATAAATTATTTTATCAACAAATTGACTTGAGAATTCATTTACTCAGAAAAGTTTTACATTAATTATTCAATTGACACATGCAGACAAAAGTCTTCTTTTTATCACAATGAAGTAAATTGAATAACATAGAAATAATCAGATATTGAGTCTTCTTCTCTCTCGTGACAAAAGTCACGTCATTCGTTTATTTCTTTTTATTCTTTTGTATTTCTATCTAGGATTATGTAGCAATAAAATAATAAAATGCTGTGCATTTGATTTTGTTTTGTATTAAAACGTCATGCTTTTGACGTGAACATTATCAATGATTATAATTGGAAATTAACCCTTGTTATTGTAAACGTTAATCTTGCTATGAAAGTATTATGATTACGTTTGAAAGAAATTTTTATTCAAAAACCAAGAGATTAACGTCAAGAGCTTCAATATGCTCAGACCATTTTACTTGGTAAAATGTTTTCAATATTCATTCGTCAAGCCTTGTTGTAAGAGTCACTTTGGAAGTCATCAATTATTCACGAACTCGTTTCCTGCAAAATCAATTTCTTCCAATCTCATTCGTTTGTGAAATTACTTGATTAGTTAATGAAAATTTTCTTTTCTCTCTTTGTTCCGCTATTTGAATTCAAATTGATGTCATTAAGTGGCTTTTGAATCGATCGCTTGCTGTTAATTGTTACATAAATTTTTACGAGAATTAACTCCGTATGGAACAATCATGTAAGTAAAAAAAATGTCATTTGTTCTCGTGAATAATTAAAATTCTGTCCATCAAAATGTGAGTAGATAAAGCAGTCAATTACTAACGATTTGGGTTTCGAAGGCATGAAAATGCTCAAGGATTGTTACGTGCTTGAATTTGGCTTGAATTACTTGAGACACGAGACCGACTGTTGAGTTGATTATAGAATTAAATATGAGTAGATATTTAACTTTTGCTTCAGAGAACTTAAAAAATATTCCACTTATGTTATGGAAATAGTAATTTTGATACTCAAATATTGATCAAAATCGTGAAAATCATAATGATAGGACTTTGGTGATTGATAGTGAAATTCCAGTTATTTGGAGATAATCGAAATGATAATGTTTGAGAATTTTATTTTAATTCCCTTTTTCTTCAGATATCTCAGAATAATTTAAAACTTTGTTTCCTCTGTTTCATGGATATTTGATGCATGATTTATTCTTCGTCTGAAATATTTACATACATTCAATTTCGAAGGCAATGAAATATGAAATTGATTGATATTTCAGATGATGATAATGCTTATTCTCTTCTCATATGAAATTCATATTCAGAACATTTTTTCCTCCTTCCCCTACCATAAAAATTAATAAAAGTCAAACAAGGCTGCAGCCCTAAAAAAGTTTTCCCAAAGAAAAGGAAAAATCCTTCAAACTTTTTTTTTCACTTTCAATAAAAAACCGATCACGAAAAACCTTTCAAATTTCATTTCATATATCAATAAACACATCCATTTATCAAAGAGGAAAATTTGAAAATCAATAAAAATCCAATATCGATAATACGGTGCTTATCATTATTGCCGTATACTAAACAAGACTTGTGAGATCCCAGCACACTCCTTAGCTTCTTAAAAGCAAAATATTTTCATAGGAAAAGAAAAATACCCCAAACAGTTCGCGTAATATTCAAGCATAAATGCACGGAAAAAAAATTTATTTATTCATACTCGTTTTCCATTTTCCACCCTCGCTTACTTCAAACAGACTAAACGCCATTTAACCAGAGCGAACTTTTTAACATCATAAAGTTTTCCATATTTTTTAAGACTTGAGCATTTCTGTTTGGAGTTTCATGAATTTTCATATTTCATGGAGATTTTATTATTTTCTACTTAAAAGGGCTGGAAAATGTTTCTGTAATGGAAAGTTTGCCATGTTTTGTTGACCTAAGCATATTTATTTATGTGAGTATATAATCTTTATTGAAGGCAGTACACGTTCATTGAACGTGTATCATTTGTTTAAAAAGAAGAAGAAATGTTCAAAAATGGCGATTACTATTTACATTAAAATCGTTAACGCTTTGTGAACAGGAATTAAATACTGTCATGTGTTTATAGCTTCATGCATCGGAAATAATTTTAAGTGCCTTATGTTTGTATAACAATCTTAAAAGCCCTTTGTTTGAAAGCAGTGAATTATTTTACGTAATTAAACCACGATAAAAAATGTATGATTACGTTAAATAATTGGTAAAGATTTTCATCGTCTTGAATCGTCAATTTTGTGTAAACTGTCGAACATTAATCAAGTTTATGAGTCAGCAATTTTTTTGCAATTTAAATCAAATGAAACCAAACCAGGCGAGTCTGTCTAATGACATTATGAATCTTAAGTCTTTGAAATGAGAATTAACAATCTGTTTCAATTTAATTTGTTAAAACCAAATATATTTAAGTAGATGTTTTGATGAATGAAACGTGCATGTAAGAACAAAGGTACAAATATTCCTTTGATTAACAACACGAAACATTATTGTCGAAGAATACTAATTTGACACATTCTCATTAATGTAATGTCCGGACGTTGGCCGGCGTGCAGTCATAGTGCCGCCAAAAACTGTTTGCCACAATGGAATTAAGTTTGAAAAAGATCATCTTAAGATTCGATTTTAAGATGGAAAGAAGGAATTGTCAATGCAATTATAAGTTAGAAAAGTCACGCAATTTCTTCCATGAATTGTTGCACCTTTTCGATAGACAAATGATCAAAGACTTAATCTTTCTTATTTGTTTTTAGGCGCAATTTGATTGCTTGTGTCACCTGGACTGACGTTTTCTCTATTTTCAAATTCAAGTGCCGATTGAATTTATCATGCAATGCTGGATTATTTCATTTCATGGTTCAAATTAATTATTCAAGATAGATAAAATTTCCCTCTGTTCATGCCAACAGAAGTTGTAAATTTATATTTTTCAATGATAAATCTCAGCATGTATGAAAAGGTTTTTCAATTTAATTTGATTCAGTGAGAATACTGTTCAAAACGTCCATAAACGAGAGGCAGAAGGAGAATGAATCGCTGATAAATCGACACAAATTGTCCATTAACACACATCGTATATGAGACTTGTGATGACAATGTTGGCACAATCGTGGTTGTTGTGAGCTTCTGATCGTTTCCCCTAACAAAGCTTTATAAAATAAAAATTTAATTTATTTTAACGAGACATTCCACTTATCGATAATCGTGATTCCAATTATTACACTGACTTGTGCTAACAACTTGTCATGTGAGTTGTATATCGATGCTTGAAGAAAGAATTATTGAAAGCTCGTTGTTGGGAAGCAATAATTACTTGCTTACTTACATGAATTTTATTGCTTACAAGAAGCTTGAGTTTAATAGACAATTTAATCGATTCCTTTTCATTCTTTTAAAATTGTCTTCATTCCCGAATATCTAAATGTAAAATTCTTCTTTTAATCTTCCAACAAACTTTCTGCTTGCATATTTAAGTAAAATAAAATAAAATAAAAATTTATTACTTGTCGTTGTTTTATTATCATTCACACCTTCATTTCCACTCAACATTTTTCACATAACTTCGATCCAGTTAATGATATTGACAAACATATTAAACAAATTTGAAGAGATTTCTGTCCATTATTGTTGTCTGTTGGAGGTCTTATTCTGATTGAAATGATATTTTGAAATGAGGCTAAGCGCGAAAATGAAAACTATCCCATTTGCAATTTTTATTCTGTTGATTTTAAGAAGTTGCTTTAAAATTATTCAAAATATTCGTGTTGATATCAAAAAATCCTTCTTTCGGACCACCAGCGAATTTATCATTGAAATCCATTGCAAGCAATTTTCCATTTCAATTCGATTCAGCTCGTGTGCAAAATGAACATTTCAACATAAATTGCATTACATGTTCCGACTTAAAATTGCATAAATTTAATTAAAATTCTCTTTCAACTCTTTGCGCTGATTTGAATTTAGAGAGACTCTCTGTTTATAAAAATGTTTCGCCAATTCAAGTTGATTAAAAGCACCAAAGAGAAATCAAAACATTTGCATTAGATGAAACTCGATGTAATATCATCCGGTGATTTTGTGAAACCTTTTCTTTCTTCTTGCTGCTGACAAGCGGCGATAAAGGAGCATAAACATTAAGTAATCACCTCGTTAAAATTAAAAACTCCATGTCGTCGCTTTTGTTTTTTATCCTCCTTTACTTGTCTTGTGCTCTTCCGTCGTTTTCTTTCTTCTTTCCTTCTTTTGTCATACAACCCGAAAGAAGAATTTTCACCACCAGCATTCATTGAAAAAGGTCAAATCTTGTAGACGAAGAGTGTTTCTCCTAATGGACAATTTGTGTCATTTTTTATCGAACAAAGGTTTCACTGATTTTATTCCTTTTTTAAGATTTTACGAGAGTCTTCTTCTCGTTTGTAACTTTGTAGCGTATTTGAATCATTGAACATTCATTTATTAAAGTTTTAGTTTGCATCTCTATTATGAACATATTTTCAGATTGATTTGTTGACAATCTCGATAAGTTCTTTATTCTACAAGTTATTCTACAACTAAACAAACTTAAACATAAAAAGGCTCGCCTGTCATGACGTCATTTTATACTACAAATTATTTAGTGTTAATGCAACTTATATCTTTGAATGTATTTTATAATGTTCTAAACGATTTACAACTCAGTCTCACCTGATGACTAAGAGTTACAAAATCCAACTTCAAAGGCCGTAGAGAAATAAAATCGATAAGCGAAATGCGAGACAATGTCATCAGGAAAGTAAAAAAAATTATTGTGGAATTTTAAAAGCCTCTTAAAATTCCTGTATCGTCTTTCCTTCGGTTTTAACCAGCAGAGAGAGAAAGAGAGATAACAACAAAGTCATTGTGGAACATGAAGCGAATTATCTATTTGGTAATTCATTAAAAATTATTTTCTTTGGTCGCATTTTTATCTTTTTTTGTCGGGGGTTTCTCGTTTCTCGTTGCAGACATTGCCATCAAGCTATTAATGGAATGTGTTGGTTGACAAATTTATTTACAGGGAGGTATGGTTAAAGCTATTTAGAGAATTTGGCCACATTTTCAATGTTAAGGAGATCGTTGCTTTATACTCGGTTTGGTGTAAAAAGCCATTTATTTAAGTTGATTGAGAAAATGCCGACACCGTTTAAGAAACTTTTTTTAACGACATTGGTAAACAGAGAAAAATTGATTACTTCATTAATTCAAGCTCTTCAATAATACTTCTCTATAAATTGAACGATTTAAAAGCTGATTAAGATACACTTTTACGATCCATTTAAAAAAACCTTTTAGAGACGAATGTCAATATGATATTCATAAACAGCTCACTTCTTTGACTCTAATCCGCTGGTCAGCCAATGTCTCACAATGTCAAATATTTTATTATTTGTTGCAGATAACACACGACAAATTAAAATAAAATATTAAAACTTAAAGATTTAAAAACTTATAAAAATGCGAAATGTAAAAGAAAGCAAGAAAGAGACTCACACAAAGGCACGAAAAGCAATATTCAATTAGCGATAAAGCATCAGAGAATTGGCGTGAGCTGATTTACAAGGGGGGCTTATTCAAGTTTCGATTCTTTTTGAGAAGTTGACAAATTAAATCAAGAAATGTAAATATAGAAATCGTTTTAGTTTCCCTCCCTCAACCGATCTTTCAATTCTCTTCAAAGAACTTTATTTCGCTGATATAAGCTTAAAAGATTATGTTTTTATAATATTTAATGAACACGCTTCATACCAAAATCAAGCGAAGAAGAGAAGAGACAAGAATTGCTTTTAATATTTCCAAATAAAAAGCATCTTTCAAAAACAGATTTAAAGCAATCTCCACTATTCACCACGCTACATCGTCCGCCTTATCTCAAAGTTTCGCTCATTAACATTTTAAAAAGACATAACACAAAGTTTTAAAAGCTTTTTATTTAAAGACATATCGTGTCGTATTTTGTTTTAACGAGACATGTTGTCGTATTTTTGTTTTTGTCTTTGATGATTGTGTAAAGTTTGAATATTTTGTTTTTATTTCATTTCCTAAATTCATTGATGTTTATGGAAAATATTATCGTACATACGTATATGTCCGTAAACTGTTTCAATTCCCTGACGATATATTAATTCTTCATGTTCATGAGAATTATTTCCGGAAATTATCATTCCAAACGCTTCCATTTGAAAACTAATTTTGATTTCAATGTAATTTTAATGAGCTTCGGATGCCACGGTTTGAAACGACTCAGTATCAATGATGCAACAATTTGTGTTCACTTCTTGGATGAAGATATTTAATATAATAATGGAATGATTTTTATATCGAACATTAATTGAAATTTATTCCCCACAAGAAACAATGTGCGAACATTTATTGAATACAAATGTTGTTGCCAATAGATTGGCATTGCCTGATATAAGCTCGTAAAATCAGCTACACCAAATCAGACACCACAAGTTGATCCCCAGACATTGAGAGCTTTAGCAAAAACAAAAGAAAAATAAATGTTGAGAGCGAAATCAAATAATGAAAAACCATAAAAAATTATTATTGTAGGAGGCAAAATGAAAATTTTTATTGCTGCTTTGAGCTTCTTCCGTCGATCCATTCTCTAAGTGAGTTCATAAATTTCAATTGTTTCACTTTATCTTCTTATTCTCGTTCACAGAACCAAATTACCATTTTTTTCACGAAAAACTTTTATCCAAAATTCATGTAAATAATTCGATTGAGACGATGATTCGAGCTATAAAAGTGCATAAAATGTTTTGTTTAGGAAAATTCAAGAATATAAAAATCTTTAGTGTTGAAAATTGAAAAATAAAAGAAGCATTTGGGAAATTATGTTGACTGCTTTCAAAATGTCATTAAATGAATTTTCTTGGTGATTTTTAAAACAGCTTTCTCTAACAGGAAACATAAAGTTTGTGTGATTTTCACATCCTTCGTGTACAATTTAAATTTTAAGGAACAAACTTTGATTCATAAAATTTATTGAAGCATAAAAAAATATTTCCAAATATTTGTGTGATAATTCTCTTATTATAATTTAATTATTTTTAACTCAAACATATTTGGGTAATTTATATTTTATGAAAAAAGAGAGAAATTACGCAAAAACATGAAAATTGATTGAACTGTTACCGAAAATGTTGGAATTATTTTTATTATTTTTTTTGCAATTCGATTTAACCCCCGCAAATATAAAAGCATTCATCATGCAAAATGAAAAGTCGATATATTTAAGAGCTCTGTAAATTTTCCCAACACCAACACACGTTTTGTTTATTTTCCAAATATTTTACAATGCTTGTGTTAGTGACAGCCAATCCAAATTGAATGGGCGTCGACGAATGGTGGAAACGAGAAATAAAACGGAGAAAAGAAAAATTGTTACGTTCATATTGAAACAAGAAAGATATTTTTAAATCAGTTTCTGTACTGCAAGAGAAGCCATCAAACCGAGAAAGACATTCCGTGTATTTATTTATTTCAAAAAAAAAAATTCCGGTGTGAGTCTGACAAGCTGACGATAGCCTTTTAACGAAATAAAACAACGAAACAAGAGCAATTTGAAATATTAACTTGTATTCTTATTATTATTGTGCTATTGCCTTTGCAATCGTTTGCTGCTACATCGAATTTGGCTCCGCCGTATTTATATACAACTGTAGGCAATTTTTAATAAATTGATCGTTTTGTTTTTTCGGGCTAGCGCGGATTTTCTTACTTCTGCCCATGTCGATCTGGACGGTTTGATTTTTTTAATGCTTGGCGCTTCATTTGATGAGCACGGATTTAAACAAGTTTGATTCCTTGAAGTGAAAACATTGTGTATTTACTTAACAAGTGAAAAAAAGAAAAAGAAAATTAATTATCAACAAGAAAAATATAAAAAGAATAAAAATATAAGAAAATGAAAACTTAAAGTTGAATGATAAAAAGGAAGAAAGTTTATCAAAAAAATTGAATAAAATATTTGAAAGAGAAAAGTTTTTGAATTGTGCAAATATTAAAAAATAAATAAAAACTGAACAAATGAAAATGTCAACACACGAAGACGACGATTCAAACCACGACCAAGAAGAAATAAATGTGGATGATGTAGATTCAGATTCAAGGATTTCTTACAACAGCAATACGTCAGACGTTGATTTAGATGGCAACGGGAGTTGCTACGATGACTCAGAGACTGCTATAAGGTAAAAACCTCAAGTTTTATATAATAAATCGTGGTTTTCTTTTAATACCTCATAGTTGAAATAATTCTAACATATGTTCAAATAAAAACGATTGTATAACTTTTAAAAAGACAATTTAACGATTTAAATGAATTCCATTTATTTTGATATTTCAATTAAACAAAGAACAAGCCGACAAATATAAATGAGAATTATATAAAAGGAATTCAAATGAAAACTTATCTTGAAAACTTAATCCAACATTGAAATTGTTATCAATGGCCATTTGTCTTTTCAACAGTTGCGCAAACATTTATCCATGGAAGAAAATGGTCAAATCCACAAGTCATTAGGCTTTAGACATTTCTCTCCCGCCCTAATCCCCTAATAAAATTTTTAATTATCATATAAATTGCATCACTTTTGTACGAATTAAAAATGCTTTCAAATGACTTAATTTTTCTTTTCTTATTCTTGTCTACGGTTAATTATTGAAAAAGCCGAGCCCATTTTTTATGAACAAATAATGTAGCTGCTTGCTTATCTTAAGTGATTTCAAATTAACATTCGACTAATTCCAAACTTCTTCGAATTAAATAAGCATTAAAAGTGTATGTAATTATTCAGCAACTTAATCATAAATGATCCGAAGTGGATACTTTTTCACATGATTCAGTAGTTTCATATAAATTTTCCTTTGACTTATCGTTCGTTCGACTGTCAACACTACTCATTTAATTTATGTTCAATTTGTAGTGATAACTTCAGTTAAAAACATAAACATTTCATGTGTAAATTGTTGCAATTTTAATTTAATAGTAGGTAATTGCAAGGCAATGAGAAACCTGTTCCAAGATCGGAAGAATGAATTTAGGTTGATGAAGTTTTAAAAGCAACACATATCATCATGATTAAATCGAAAGCTCAGCCCATAAATTCCTACTTTCAATAATCTTAAGCTTTGATACTCAATTGAACTAGATCAAAAAAGAGCCACAAGCTGATGCATATTAACAGCTTATTAAAATCTTAAACTCTCAAAGCATTAAGTAAGTTTTTTCTTTGTTTATCTTAAGAAAAAAATGCATTAACATTTAATTTCTCAACTCGTGATCAGTCTTTATGTCCATAACAGGCAGAGGTAAAAGCAAAGATTAAATGACAAATAAAAGAAAAACGCTAATAAAGTCACCAGACATTTTTATCAGTTCAACAAAGAAGAACTGGTTCTCTGCCCAAGTTGTTGTTGACACATTCAACAGATTTCGATGTTCACATCTACGACAATAAATTTATTTAATTTAAATTCTTTTCATTCCAGTGATCATCACATAAGAGCCGCTCAAACTCGATCGTCAAGTGAGAATCTTCCATTTAGTATATCACGACTGTTATCAAAATCTTATAATAATAGTAGCATTAATAATAACAACAATAATGACACGAGTGATAGAAAAAGTGTAGAGAAAGATTTAAGTGATTCAGAAAGTGGAAAAGTGAGTTTTAGTAGTGCCGGACTTCAGTATACAGCAACTGGTGGTCTCTATTCTTATCCAATTTACACATCGGGTGGTGTTCTTCGCGTCCCACCCCAACGCGGCTACAATCCTTTAGCACTTCATCATGCATTTCCGCTGCATCCGGCGGCGGCTTTGGCTGTAAAAGATAGACTTGCTGGTAAGTTTTAAAATTCTTTCTTTCTCATTTTTTACCTGAAAGGGATCGAAGCGCCGTCAACACAACAAGCAAACGGTTTAATTAATGGTTTGCGATTGTCGGAATGAAGAAAAAAAAATAAATATCTAAAAGGAAAAAGCTGAGAAAACATACAAAAATTTAAAAAGATATTATTGATCCAACAGTTTTAATCTTGTCTCTGTTCCGTAACTTCTATTCTCGCTTTTCTCTGTTCCCGAAGCAAAAGCCGTGCAACTCATTGAGCTGATGATGAACTGTTTTATGATATCAATTTGACAGCTATAATTTGTTCGCATTTTGTTTGCTTGATCCGTTTGAAGATGATTTCATTGCGCAACGATGCCTTTGAAGCAAAAATGAACGAAGAGAATAAATAATTTCCGGTTAAAGGAACAATTCGAAGCGCGTAATTAAAGACACGTCAAATTTGGTTCATGATTGTTCTTTCTTAAAAACGATGTCGATGTTCCTTGGAAAGAATAACCAAAAAAAACAATAAAATTATCTTTTCAAGTAATTGATCTGCTCCCCGAAAAAGCAACGATCATTTTGATTAATAAAGTCTCAGGGAGAGCCGTGCGTTTAAAAATTGATGTAATTTCATTCAAAAATTAAAAAACTTTCAAGATTAAGTATTGTAATAATTGTAAATGATGAATGTAGAAGAAGCTACTGGGCTTGTGCTTTGTCTCAATCAACAATTCCATTAACATTAAATAAAAAAAAATCATTTGAAATGACAATAAAATTGAACATAGAATATTTAAGCAGTTTTTTGAGACAACATCAGAGTTCCGTTCTACAATCTAAATTGAAAACATTCGAAGCGCCACAAAACACATAAAAACTTCTAAAAACGAACTGCCCTCAAGTATTAAACAATCTTGATTATGTTGACGTGAAGCACAAGATTGAAAACTTCTTTTTCAACTTCGATTCATGTATTAAAAGAATTTTTACGATTCATGAAATGAAACCGAAATGAATGGAAGCGAAAAGGTGTTTCATGCATGCTTTGTTGCTACTGGGCATTCTTTACGTTTCGATCGCGTTTTCTTATTTGATTCCTTGTTTTGTGAAGAGTGAAGAAAAATACGAAGCGGGTTAACAAGCAAACGAACAAATTAACGAAGCGTTTTCTTGTATCGTTTCATTACGCAAAACACACAAACGCTGTGATCTTCTCCTGAGCTTTTTATCACGTCTTTAGATCAGCTCAAGGCTCAAGAGGGAATTTTCAATTTCTTCTTTCACTGCTCGTGGTGTTTTAATCTCTTAAGTAAAAGAACTTGTTTATTTATCCTCACAATGTCGTATTCTTAAGACTTTTTCACTGCGACGAAAGTCGATTCTAAATATTGCTTTAATGAATTTAATGATATTGATTTATAAGGTTTATGTTTTCCTCCATTCTACATTCCCGCCTTTATAAAAATCGAAGTTTAATCTCACATATGCAAATCTTAAAAGCAAGGAGAGAGTCAGAATTAAAATGACATTTCAAAAGACTCGCTTGAATGTGGAAAACCAATTAGGTCTATTAATTTGTGACTTAATTTAGTTAATACTAAGCGCCTTTGCATATTCAATGATTTTTTCTTCTTTTCTTTTTTGCTAAATTCATTAAACATTTTCCATCTGATGATAAGTTTAATTTGAAACTTGATGAAAAACGATTGAAAGTCAATTAAATTTCATAGTAGAATTGCATATCGATTAAAGGATTATCAAAAGTGCTCGTTTATAATGCTGGAAAGCTTTCGATTACGATAACATTTCGATGACTTTTTGTCATTTCAATTCAAGCGTTGTTTTCAATTACAAACCAGCGATGAAAACGGATGATTGTGGTTTTCAGTTCATTGTTGTTATTGTACTTTTTTTTTTCAATCTGTTTGATTGATTACCACAAATAGTAAATTCGTAAATGCTTCCTGTTTGCCCATAAAGCGATCAACTTTTAATGAAGCTTTTGCAGCAAATGAAAAAATAAAAGAAATGGAGTCGTGCAACTTTTATCAGCGATTTAAGACAAGTTACTTAACAGGAAACTTTTAAATTTAATCTAACTTTTTTTTGTATCTCATAAAGCTGTCTTACTATCATAATTTTCCATCATTTAAATATTAAAGTCACTGAATACAATTCCAATATGAGCCAACAATACACGAAAGTGACAAAAAATATTTTCCACATAATTTGCAATTTTCAGGGGCCATTTAACATCATGTTTATAAAATGAATTTTAAATTATTTGCTGCTACATTGCGTAACATAATATGTAATCAAATCAACAATTTTAACTTTAAATTAATGGCATTTTCAGCGAATTGGAAACCACATAATACACGTTTACTAACAGTAACAATTTTGAAATGGCGTTGCGCATTCATGTCGACTTAATCAAATAACGTTCTCTGTTGCTTTGGGGTTGGGCAATCATGATAAAAACCGAATGAATATCATTATGAATGTTTAATATTAAAAACATATATTAAACCGTTGTTGTTCGATGATTATTATAACTCTACATATACACACACAAATACTTGGCATCGCGCCCACCTCAAGGCTCATAATTGCTTACGACGACTTAATTCCCTATTGTCGCTAGAGTCGAAGGAAGAAAAAGAAAAAAAAGGAAAAACAAAAATATATGAGAAAAGCTAATGAAAATGGAAATTGCTGACTTTATCGTTAACATGTTACAATCCTAATGACTTATTTATAAACTAAAATAGTCTGTAATTAATAATAATTGCTTTCGCCCATTAAGTCTCAAATGGCTTTTGTTTTCCTTCAGCCTTTCCAATCGCTCGTCGCATTGGTCATCCATATCAAAATCGAACTCCACCGAAGCGGAAAAAACCTCGAACATCTTTCACGAGAATCCAAGTGGCGGAATTGGAGAAGCGATTTCATAAACAAAAATATCTTGCATCAGCCGAGAGAGCCGCTTTAGCAAGGGGACTCAAAATGACAGATGCACAGGTCAAAACATGGTTTCAGGTGAGAACATTTTATTGAATCTGATTTCAACATAAATTCACATTTATTTTCTTTCACATTCATACAGAATCGAAGGACAAAATGGAGGTGAGTCGAGTCATAAATTTCAATTAAACATTTTATGGAGTGTAAAGTGTTAGATCGGAAAGGTCGTGTTTGAAAGTGAGAATGTGCAAAACAATTGAAGTGCTGATGGCTTTGAAAACAATTCAAATGAATACATAATTGATTATCTTCCACTTGTGTGGTGAAATAAATGATAAATGCAGTCATTGCATCGGATGTTAATTAAAAAATTAAAATTCAAAAGTAATCGGAAATATTAAATCTTTGCCTTCATCATCGTCTTTTAAGACTCGTAATTGAATGGAATTATTATGCAAGTTGAAAATAAAAGGAAATGGAAAGATTTTCCATCTGTTTTTCTTAAACGTCGGCTTTGTGGTGTTTTAAGAAATGTTTTTGGCAGTGGCGTAGACTTTATAGAATTGCTTGGAAAATTTAAAGCAAAAGATTTGTGAAGCCACAATTATTATTTAATTTTTCCGACCAATTGTGATTGTTCATCGTGCCAATGAGTGGATAAAGTGAAAATAACAAATAATATGCGTAATCTCAATGTTACAGTTAAATCACATTCTGTATTGATTTTTTGCTTCGTTCACTTCTGCTTTTCTTGTGGCATGTTGAAAAGTGAAAACAGAAATTTTCATCCAAACTCGAATGATTTTCTAAGCTTTTTCAATTTAAGGCTTGATGGTTTTCTCATTAATTTTCTTCTTGTTTGTTTGTTTCTTTCTTTATTTCAATAAAACTGTTTCTTACATGCGTTTCGTTCTCATGAACATTATTTTTGATTTGAGTTTAATTTTCCACCATTTTTTTTCTCTTTGTTGCTTTAACGAACGCTCGTGGAAAAGGAAATTAGTTTTTTAGGTTGTAACTTTTTGGTAACATGGCGATGTAGCAATTTAGATACCGAGACGATGTTTCTCATCGTTTTATTTATATTACTGACCATAATGATGATCCATCTCATTATAATTGGTTGTCGCTGTTTAATATTGTTTAAAGCGACAAATTTCAAATTTCTTTCTCTTTTGTCGAAAATCGATAATTTCCGGCGATGTTCACATTTTTCTTTCACGTTACGGGAAAAGTCTGATGGAAACATTTTCTCGCTCTTTTGTCTTTCATTTTTTCAAGCGACATCATTTGGTATTATCTTTTCACATGAATTTTTTATGATCTCTTCTTCTCGTTTTGAAAACAGAAAACAAGCGAGACACATCGCAACGCCATAAATTTTAAAAAGAATAAATTAAGTTTTTCTTTTTCTTGTCGCATTGAACCACTCAAAACCTCATCATGGAGAAACAAAGACTGTTTAAAACGGTCATAAATAATTTTTTCCGACGGTCTAGCGAGTTTATAAATGGAAGATGAATTTTTACGGGGTTAATTAATCTTTTAAATCCAAAGGGAAATGTTTCCTCAAAATTTATTTGCTTTTCAATAAACATTGTTGCGAAATTTAATTATAAAACATCTCAATTTTCAAAGCTTACATTCATGATCTAAACTTAAACATTTTCAAGCTATACAAGTGAAAACCACAAGAACCATAAAAAACTAAATTTTAGCGAAAAACAAAACTTTTCAGGAAATATGTCAGATTCAATTAACGTTTCAATTAATAACTTTTTGTGTTTTTATTCAGTTTTCAAAAAGCTGGCAATTTTTTTCTCTCACTTCTATCGCGGTATAAAAAAGAAAAGTTAAGGCGGAAAATGTTACAGGAAAATTTTTATTAATTTCTTAACATTTCTAAAGTTTTGTACGGAAATATTTTCGTTGAGGTTTTTTGCTTTAGTTTCTCTCTAACAAATTTGCGCAATTAGTGAAGCGTGAAATCAGAGATTTCATTTTATGAATGGTTTTTACATAATTAATTGTACATATTTTAATTGCCACAAAAGAGCGTAAGAAAATTTTAACTCCAACTGCCACAGTTCAAATTTGATTTACATTTCATGACACTTAAGAGTCTCACATGGTAATTGATATGACGAAAAATAGTTTAATGTTTATAAATAATGGATGAGATTCGGTTGAAGCAGTTGAATAATTTGGGATCTTTCTCATGCCTTCGATGCGTTTGTGTATGAGTCATGAATGAAATATTAAGCCTATCAACATTCTAAATTGATGTCAGTTTTCTTGAACGAGGGGAGAATGGAAAAGCTTTGCCGAAACATTGTCTTATTTGAAATTATAATTAACCTAATATAACCATCTTTCTTAGAAGACAAACAGCTGAGGAACGAGAAGCTGAAAGACAGGCGGCAAATCGATTGATGTTGTCATTGCAAGCTGAAGCGCTCAGCAAGGGTTTTGGCCCCCCCCCCCCGCCTATGGCAAACGGTAATGGTGCACCATTAGCAGCTTTACACGGCTTACAACCTTGGGCACCATCTGGAACACCTGAAGCACACGCTGCAAACTGCTGAACCGTTCAAAATTGCGTGCAAAATTTCCTTTCATTTTGTATCATAAATGAGCAAAAAATATGTTCGTCAGATGGTTGATAATCTTTGTCTCATAATAACAAATTAAATAAGTGCAAGCAACTTTTCATTCATATTAATTTTCCTTTTTAAATTTAAATCTTAATTATCAAATTCAACACGAGTTGAAGCAACACAAACAGCTAAAAAGCAATAATTAAAGAAAATTATAGAGCAAGCTTAACGTCGTTACTTTTCAATGACTCAAATTTTCTTTTAAATTTTCATGGTGATTTATGTAAGTACTTAATTAATTAATAAATAAGTGGAAGATCTCAGAAAAGAACCTTCTGAAAGTCGCTCAATATGAATGTAAATAGTTAAAATACTTAACAATTTCTAACTTCATTAAAATGTAAAATTTAAGTTTATTCAAGAGTTAAACAAGTGAACAATCATAACTTTAAATGAATTTAAGAAATCTTAATGAGATACAACATTAAATCAGTGTTTAAGTGTCGGGAGAAAGAAACAAAAACAACATAAAATCAAAAACAGGAATAATTAAATTCAATTGAAGAAATTATAGAAGCATCTCATGAAATACATTTGTAGCTAAGCTTTCGACTTTCATACGAAAGAAATTTATTAAATAAATTCCCGATTAAGCTTAACAAGAAAAAAAAGTGTAAAGCATAAAAGTATTATATAGCAATTAAATTAACTAGCATATTGAAATCATAAATCTGTACTATTTGCAAATAATGATCATTGAGAAACTTCAAGTATACAACATAAATAATAATAAAAGGTAAATAAAATTTTATCAACAATGAAGATCAAGATTTGAAGTTGTTTCCTTTACCCATAACTCCACTCACATAAATAATAGTAATCGAATTAAAACATCATCAATAAATGTCAGTTTCATCCCTTCGTTGTTAAGTATTCGTTTTCCTTATCATCAATAAGAAATCATCAAACACAAAACAATTATCCACTTGTCCGTAGGGTGAAATTAAAAATTAAAGATCTCCTCAAATCCCTAAGCAAAACTCTCAGCATACGTTTACATCGTTTGTGATCTTTATGATTGAGCGATAAATCAACAAACAATTGATGGTGCAGTTGCTGTTTTTAAATATATCCAAAAATGATCTAAGTGAGAGGCACAATTGAAATATAATACTCGTGCGAGATTACTCGCCGACCCTTTTTTTATTCGACATCACCATAAAATTTATTCTTTTGTTCTTAATTTTTATAACAACCTGCTACATCGTGAGAGTCAATGATCCCTACAAGGAACAGAGAGTCTCTTGATTCTGTTAATTTAACAATTATGTTGTTATGTTTTATTTATTAACTCTCGGAGAAAAAAGAATTGTCACAAGAAGTAAAGAGTAGCAACAATAACATGTATACAGCAGGAGTTTTATTCCCAAATGAATATTGCAACAGACACACAAAGCGGTGTCGACGATAAAATTTTTTTCTCATTGTTCTCTTATATCACGAGCGTATGTTGAGGGTTGGTTGTGCATAGAAATTGCTTTGTTCTTTATCCCAATGTCGCATATTGTAACAGAAACTTTGTTCTTTTCCAGATGAAGTAGATTCACTTGTGCCATAAAAATATCTCAGGAGTGCTTTGTTGTGCTTTATGCCTCGGATTACACCACTTTCGTTAAATGGTTTTTTTTTTGCTTTTTCTTCTTCTTCTGAAAATGGGTTTGATTCAACTTGAATATGAGGGAAGTTTGTTTATGTCGAAAGAAGTTTCACATAAAGATACGCTGAGTAATTTCACCCCTTGTCAATTGAATGTACGAGTAACAACATATCAATTTACTTTTATTTAATAAATTCTGATGATTGAAACGTTTGAGTAAAACTAAGACATCATAATTATGTACATCGTCCCCGGTTTTGTTTGCAGTTGATATTAATTGTGAGACAAACCATACACGCAACCAGAGATATTAGTTTTTTTTATATATCGACCAAATATATTTGATTACTTTTATAAAGTTAAATGGCTTATGATGGTTTATGATGTCTAACAATTTTGGCAAATATTTATTTTCTAAAAATTAAATTTTTAATGACTCTTCGCATTACCTACACTAAACATAATTTTGATAAAATCATTAAAAGTTTGAAAAACGATTCAACGACTAAATTTAAAAGTTTTTATAAAAAATATTATTGTTAGTTTATTAATCAAAATATTTCAAATCAAACGCTTACGCTTTTATCGTTCTGTAATTATAACTTTCGCATTCATCTTTGTCTCTAACCTCAGGTCTTACAAACTGTTCATTCTGAACTTTTTTCTTACTCTTTTCTCTCTTTTTTTCTTTCTCTCGGGTTTTACGACAACGATTATCAGCAAAATACCTTTTGATAAATGTAGCTCTTAGCCTCAAGTCATGACTTTATATCCTTCGGAAAGGAATCATCATTTCTAATTAAAATGAATCAGTCGTTAAAGTATAATGACATCGAAAATAAAAATGTGTTTTTAAACTGTCTGCTGACTAGTTTGTGCCTTCGAGACGATGATCAAACTGATTTTAAGATGTTTTTCTTCTTATTTGTAGCTGTTTTCTTGACTGTTTCCTTGTTGATTGTATTCGTCGACGCCCAACGATGCTTTGATTGGATAACACAAAGTTCCATTGACTCACGAACACTCTCAAACATTTTTCCTCGTTTACTTGTATTGTAAGCGGAAAATTCATCACATTTAAAGTATCGACTTTTCATTTTAACATGATGAATACATTTACATCAAGAGGTTTGTGTTTCTTGTTTCATTTATTTGACTCCTAATACATCATTTTAATTTTTTTGTGCTCGCCATGTCTTCGTGATTTTTCACCCGTTTTCCCTTCTACAATCATTTACAAGAAGATTGACGATAATTTACTGATCAATTTATGTTAAAGAGAAAAAAGTTTTTATTTAAAATGCTGGCAATTTTGTAGTATGATAGACTTGAGGCAATTTGCAATCGTCATTTTTATTATATGCCATCAATTATCGTTGAGCTTTATAATCAGGTTTTGTGGTAAAAGGTCTGTTTTTAGTTTGGATGATTAAATTGCAACGATTAAACAAAATCTAATTGGTTTCCTCCACCTGGATGGTTTTATTTTATTAAACATTTGATGTTTATTTTTCAATTTCATAAAAATGTTTGATTAGCGCAAAGGAAATGAAGAAAACGTCAATAAATACTCTGATAATTTTTCAATTTCTTATTAAACGTAGAAAAACTTTGCAAAATCAGAAGAAAGAAAAAAAGAGAGAAAAACTTTTAGAACATTTCTAGCAGAAACATGAATAATTTAGCTTCTTTTCTTTATTATTCACATTTAATGTTACGTTTTAGCTTCAAGTCACAATAGCCTATTAAGCGCAATTTCTTCACCCGCAACAATTGGAATGCTTATTAACATCTGAGTGGCAGGCAAGTAAGTATGCAACCAAGCTACAAATTGTGTCTGAACATTCTGAGGTAATTGATGTTATTTTGTTATTAGATTAATTTTTACACCTTGCAAGGAGATTTACTTGAAATTGTTGTTTTATGGAGTCATGTTACGTTCATTTTATTTTGAATGTGAATTTAAGAGTCAATAAAATGTCGATTGACGATGTTCTTATGTCAAATATCTCTGAATGTATGAAATCCCCAAATCTAACATCTTTATGTCAATTTTATTTCAGCGGTTTAATAGAGGTATGTACATAGACACTTTTCTTTTTATTTGAAGACGTTAAGTGGCACTCACAATAGTCAATAAAGCTTAGAGTTATCGTATTTAAATCATTTCATCTCACATGAAAAGTGAAAAAGAGCTTTTCAAATGAAAATTGCATCCTGTCGAGAGTGGAAAGAAGGAAAAGGAAAAAAGAATAAAATGTGCATTTCAGTAATTGTCTTTGGCATCATGATAGCCATTTGCCTTTTTTAAAAGTGCAGATGATCTCAAATACAAATCGTTCTTTTGTTGCAGCATAAACTTCTTACTGAAGCAATTTGTGGTTAAATGGATGGTTGAACATCATAGTCGGTCGAACAAAAATTACATATTAAGCATCGCTCTATCATAATCTCCTTTCCATATTCCTCCATTTCAAATTGGATTCGCAATAAAATGTAATATTAAATGTGATTTTGTTGCCGATAAAAGAGACGGTGAAAAAAATATTTAATATACCGACATTAATTTAAGGATTTTAAATTGAAATGCATCATTATAGTGGAATTGAAAAACGTGATCTTTATGTATTATGCAAATTCAGCAAGAAAATTCCATGACTTGAACTGCAGTTCAAGTATTAAATGCCAGAATCGTTTTATGTTCTCGTACTTGAAACGAAAATCATAATAATTTATGTTTGTTGTCTTTTATTGTTCATTCAATCTTTAACTGCACATAGATACATATCTACTTATTTATTTCATTTCAGACCAAACAATTAACATGAGTAGATATTTAATTAACAAAAAATTATATCAAAAACTTGTTAACTTTATTTTTCCCGTACTTTGACCATGATATTCAAAAAACTAAAAAGAAGAAATCCGACATCAAGTTCATGTTTAATCAGATTAACCGTACAATTGTTTAATTATGTAACGTTCTTCCAAAAACCAGCAAAAGTGAATTTGCATAGTAACTAAAACTCATGTTGCTGTCGACTTCCGTCTACTTCTGATTGTTTCCAACAACATCAAAATACTAGAGTTTATTTAAATATAAAACGCCACCGCTAGTGTCGCTCAACGAGACATGCAATAAACCTCACATATGTTTGAACGAAAATTGAGAAGAAGCGAAAGAAACGCACTCGGCAAGAGGAAACACGGTTGATGATTCATGACGTCATTGTTGAGTTTTTTCACTATTTATACAAAAATATTCAAAGCATTTATTATTTGTCTATATGCGGAAAGGTAAATGCGTTCTTGTGCAAAGGGGTGAAGTCAGGACGTTTTTATCTATTAAAGAATTACAAGAAGTTCAACTCTGTTGATTGTCACATTGTTAGATTCAACTGAAGAGTGTGTAAGTGTTTAATGCTACCATTTGTAGGGGAGAATTCAGAAATTCTGATACTGAAAAGTCACACAATAAAGCATCAACTCCATTTCATTGCTCTAATTTAACTCACGCAATTCGCGAACACATCCGAAACATTTTTATTTTTAAATTTTGTTTCATTCATTTAATTACATTCAGACTTGTCAGTTTAAAATGTAATATCGAATGTACTGGATGTGCTGTTGAAGTTGTGTTAAATTATTAATAAACTTTTTGTTTTGACTCTCATTGTTTAGAACGAGACGAATTGTAAAGTGAAGTTAAATAAAGTAATTTGTTCTGTTAATTGAAGCAGATAGTCGAACATAAATACTTGAAAAGTATTGCGTAGGAATGTCTTGTCAGTGATTCTAAAACTCACTTAATGCGCAATGAGTTTTGTGACAATTTCAAAGATTATTTTCATTGTTCTTTTGATTTCCAACTTCACATCATGTCAAGATGTGAGTGTCAGAGTTCAGCAAGGAACTTTAGTTGGTGTAAGATTATCGCATTAAATTATCAAACATGAATCTTGTGTTTAATTAAATTGAATTTAATGTTTAGCTTAAAATATTCCCTGAAGCATCACGCATTCCGATTTACACATATTTGGGTGTTCCGTATGCGGAACCTACATTTGGTGCTAATCGTTTTGTTGCTCCAAAATCACCAGAAATTTGGAATAGAACGTATTATGCTAGAGACTACAAGCCCGTTTGTCCGCAGCTTGAAACATCTGATGATTCATCGGAAAGTCGCTATCGAAAGTCATCTGAAGATTGTCTTTATTTAAATATTTGGGTTCCTGAAACGGCAATGAAAATTGGTGGATTTCCAATTGTTATTGTTATCACAGGTCAAGAATCTTCAGACTGGTCAATGAACAGAATCTCAGGGTTAGATTTAGCAGCTGAAGGTGTCATCGTCATCACAATTCAATACAGAACAAATGTTTTTGGATGGTTATCGTTAGATAATGATCTCAGTCCCGGAAATCTCGGTTTGATGGATCAGATCATGGCGTTTGAATGGATTATCGAGAATGTTCATAAGTTTGGGGGAGATATGAGAAATGTTACTCTACTCGGTCATGGTCCGATGGGTGTTTACAACAGTTTTTATCATCTGCTGTCACCGAAGACCAAACGTAATGAACGAAACGGAATGATGAAACAACGAATAATTTCTAAACTTTTACTTTATTTTCTCTCACCTTTTCACTCCTAGGACTCTTTTCAAGAGCTGTATTGATGTCTGGAAGCATGTTTGCACCATATCCACTTAATCACGATGCATCTGAAGATTTTGTAAGATTATTGACATGTGATTCAATAGATGAAAAGATGATATTGAAGTGTCTTCAAACAAAAAGTTTGGAAGAACTTTTAAAAGCATATGAAAGTATTATTCGCAATGAAAACAGAAGTAATCGATTTTTTGGGCCAACTGTTGACAGTTTCGTCAATGACATTGATGCGCGAATGTTTTTAAATGAACCATTTAGGCTGATTACCGAATATAATTACACTATTGATGTTCCAATTCTGATGGGAATAACCAGTAATGAAGGCGCATTTGTTGATGGTGAGAAATGGCCATGAAATGTTTGTTTTGAGTTGTGATATGATAACGAAGGTTGATTACAGAATTTCTCATGAATTATGGTAAACAAGGGTACAGAAAGTTTAAAAGTTTCATTGAGCTAAATATTTTACCAACGTTGTTGAAAAAATCTCATTTTGATGGATTTAATAAGCGTCAGGTATGAAATTTTCGAGATTTGTTATCTTAATTTTTATGTCACTAAAAATAAACTTAAAATTTCTTAGATTCGCGATGCTATCAACTGGCACTACTTCCAACAAGTTCCTAAAACAACGTCACACTTACTCAATTCCCTCATCAAAATCACAACTGAAATCTCATACGAATTGCCTTTATTTAAAACAATCGAGTTGCTGACGGCTCCATTTGACCTACAGAAAGATCAAATCGTATTCAGTGATCAAAACATTTCGATGAAGCGACAAAAGAATGAAAATAAAAGTGTCACTAGTGGAAAATTGCTCGACTTTAGTGTAGTGGAGCAGCAGAGAAGTGTCAACAACAATATTTATGTGTACGTTTTCCATCATTCCAACGCAATGGATATGCGAGGGAATATAAATTATTTTGGTGGTGAGTTTCATTCAAAGCTTCTTCTCTATGAATGATATTAACAACTTTATCACATTTACAGGTGCACAACATAGTTCTGATTTACCTTTTCTATTCGGGCCAAGCTTATTCAAGCAGATAAGTCGTCGGAGACTCTCACAAACTGAAGAAAAATTGTGTAAAAAGTTTAAACAACTTTTCGGAGATTTCATTAAAACTGGGTTAGTTGAAAATCTTAGGAATGAGTTTAATAATTAATTAACAAATTTTTCTTTAGAAATCCAACACCTGATCGACTTTTCGATTCTTGGCATCCTTATAATGCAAATACAAAATATATCAAAATTATGGGAACAAAAATTGATAATTTGCTTCACAATCGAATACTTAAAGATTCTTCATTTGATGAAAATCGTGATAAAATTGAAGACATGCTTTCAGCTGACACAGAAGAGAAAATTCAAGTCGTCTCGAATCATCAGTTTAATCCTTACGACTTGAGTAATGTTAATCATGGATACGAAGAACCAAACCGAATGTCGCGACAATTTGATTCAGTTGTGTCTAATGTTGCTAAGAACACTGATTATTATTTTTATTTGAGACGAATTTACTCATTTTGGTATGAGTATTTACCATCATTATATAAAAATTATCAAGATCGAACTGGACGATCAAGTTCTGAACAAGACAGATATCTTGAGAATGGTAAGAAATCTTTAGAAAACATTCCTTTAAATTAAATTCAATTTCAAATTCTTTCAGCTACACCAAAATATAAACACGCTTTCTTCTCAATGCTTACATTGGTCTGCTTGCTTCTTGCTATTCTTGGCGTTTGTGTCTACATTCTTAAGAAGAACAACAAAAGTTTATCATCAACAGCTTCAATCTTATGACAAAAATTTATGTTCCGATCAAAGTTATTAATTGATCGAAGATTTTTATCAATGAAAGAGACAACAAAGCGTAGTAAAACAAGTCAAAGATCTTCCATAAGACGCAAAGACATTGTCATGAATAGTCCAGTAGAGGAAGATGACAACAACAATCGGATAAATTTGAGTAATCATTTTGATTCTATAGAGCCATGTGATATTGAAGATGAAATCGGAAACTTAGAAAGTTTAGAAGTTAATAAGAATTGGAGATATCATTTAACAAATAATAAGTTTTAAATATTTAAGAAAACTTTTTGTGTTTTGTATTTTAGAATTAAATATTCTTGCACTGTGTTCTGATCATCAATTTAAAGAAATCTAAAGAAAAAGTCGTGCAATGTAAGTTTTGCAATATCTTTAAATGATCGTTTTTCAAGCAAATTATTTGACTTTCAACTTAAAATAACCAAAT